GCTTGTAGCTGGGGTAGCTGGGTGGGAAGAAGCACCAGGGCTGTCCCATCGGGGCTCTCCGCAGCCCCTGCTTTGCAGGGATGTAGCAGCAGCCGCGGGCCTCGCACTGTTCCTGGGTGATGGCCTTGTCGGGGGCACAGTCGAAGCGGCTGTTGGGGGGGACGTCGCACTGTGTGGGCACTGCTCTGGGACAGCCGGGGTGTGCCTGGGCATTCTGGGGCCCTGGCCTGCTGGCTCCCTGCTGGCGAGCTGGGCGAGTCTCCTCCAGGACCGAGGAGGATCCACTCAGCTCTCGGGGAACCAGCAGGAAATCATGGAGCAGGATGTGTCCCAGGAGCGCAGCGGTGGCCAAGGACACAAGGGCACAGACGGCCAGCAGCCGGCGGGAGCAGAGCGGGTGCCTCACTCCCATGGTAGATGACCCGGACAGCTCCTGGAGGCCTGCAGGAGAAGAAAGCTGGTTCAGCAGGGAGGCAGGAGGGGCGGCACTCACGGGGCTTTCAAAGCAGCTCTGAGACATCAACTGTGGCTGGCACTGCAGCACTCAGGCAGGTGGGGTAAGGCGGCCAGGGTGGGTGCTGCAGTGCTGTCTCGAATGGGGAGAGGGCCAGAAGGAAGGGCAAGAAAACTCCAGCAGGGGAGTGCAGAGCACTTGCACTGTCTGCTAAAATGTTACAAATCAAACACGCTTAGAATGTCCAGAGGAAGACCAGCAAGACAGGTGGACACTTGAAACGGGCCAAACAGCTGTCGCCTGGGCCAGAGTGCTGTGGAGAGATCTCAGCTCACTGCAACCTCCACCTCCTAGACTCAAGCAATCCTCCCACTTCAGCCTCCTGAGTAGCTGGGACTATAGGCACACACCACCGCACCCGGCTAACATTTTTGTATTTTTGTAGAGATGGGATTTCGCCATGTTGCACAGGCTGGTCTCGAACTCCTGAGCTCAAGTGATCCACCCGCCACTCGGCCTTCCAAAGTGCTGGGATTTCAGGGGTGAGCCACCACGCCTGGCTGGGAGCCCCACTTCTGCATAAAGGTGTGGCCTGGTCCACTGGGTGTCAGTGGAAGTGATTCTGGCAACTCATACGTCCTTAGGGAGACCCGACACGTTCCCCTGCTCTCTTTCCTATTGACTGGTACACAGATATACCACAGTGGGGAATCCCGGGCACTGCAGCTGAGGGTGACACTCTAGGGGTGGCAAAGCCACAAAAGAGACAGGACTTAACCTCTGGCGACTTTGCAGATCAGAACCCTTCCCAGCCACTGAGGCACGTGGGGAAGAAACAGTCTCGTAACAGTGGCTGCACCTGGAGCCTCAGATACAGACACAACAAGGATGTCGCGTGCAGATGAGATACAGCGGTTTGCTTTCATGACTGCTGGTAAGATTAACAAGCGCCAACTCCCCTTGTTTTGCTTGTCTGCACATTAGCATCTTATGACAAACATTCTATTAGTCTGGCTCCTCCCAGGAGCAGCGGGAACCCACGTGCGATTCAATATGCACGCATTTTAATAGGGGAGTACTTTGACGTGTGTAATACACCATGGGGAGCGAGTGGGGAAGGCTGGGAGAGCCACTGCACCTATGCAAGTCTGACCCCAAGGGAAGGAGGAAGAAGGTGTCCTAGGAGCAAGGCCATGGGGGAGGAATGCAGGGAGGTCCTCAAACCAAAGGCAGCCATCAGAGGGGTCTGTGTCTCTGAGGAACGGGCCTTGGAGCAGAGGCAGGGAAGGATTTCAGAATGCCGCCCCTGGCCAGTGAAACTCCCTGGAGCAGAGGACTGTGAAACCTTCTCCGGTCCTGGGAGCTGGTCACACACCAGGAAGAAGTGAACTCAGGGCCCGAGGGAGTCTGACCTGTCATGTCACGTTACAGAAGGCTGGGCTGGGAACACTCTGCCCCCGGCCGGACTTGGTGTTCCACCGTGGGCCACTCGTAAATTAGGGCTCTCTGGGCTGGAGGGTGAAACATTTTACTCACACTTCTGACATCTAATGTGTAGGGTTTTTCTCACGCCCATCAATTCTGCAACTTTCTGGACACGGCTGGCTGTCCTACGATTCAATTCAATCTTGACGCTACCTGGAGTCAGCGCAGACTCCACAGGTTAAGGGCTGAGTCCCACAAGACTGCCCTCACTTCAGAGGCCAATGGCAAACCCCAGGTTGTCACTTGCACTTTTGATCAACTAGTTATAAACTCAGGGGTTCCCAGGACTCCCTCTTCAGGATCACAGAACTCAGGGAAGTGCGTTTCTTACATTTGCTGGTTTATTACAAAGGATAAAACTCAGACAGCTATATGGAAGAGATGCGTGGGGCCTGGTGTGGGGTGGGGGCACTGATTCTGTGCTCTCTGCTCGCACCACCCTCCAATGCGTTGGTGTGTTCAGCAACCCCGAGGGAAGCCCTCTGATCCCTGTGCGTTTTTCTGGGGCTCCATTATGCAGGCATGGTTGACTAAGCCACTGGTGATTAACTCAATCTCCAGCCCCTCACCCCTTTTCCATTCCAACCAGTCATCAGGCCGTGGTCTTTCTGGCCATCTGCTTTCATCACGAAGCCACCTGGTGTCCCCAGTCATCAGTCACCTCATTAGCAAAAGGCTCTCTCATCACTCGGTTTCCAAGGGTTTTAGGTGCTGTGTGCCAGCAACCAGGGACAAAGACCAGAGACAGTCACCCCTGGCCTGGCCTAAGGGGGTCTTTGCGATTCGGACACTCAGATCTCAGAGCTGGCCCCTGGGGCCCTCACTCAGACCACGGTGTCCTCACTCCCCAGGGATTCAGACCCAGTCATGTGTGTCCTGCAGGAGCGGGAGAGGTGGCTCGGTCCCCGCCAGGACTGAGCACTGCATCAATCAAAAGGGGAAAGCCTAGAAACGGGAAGACGCAGCCTTCAGCCCCAGCCCGACACAGGAGGGCGGCTCCCCGTTCAACTCTGAGCTGAACTCAGATAAAGACCGTGAGGAATAGATAGAGGTCCGGGGCTCAAGCTCCGCTCAGGGAAAGAGGCTGGGGGCGCGGCTAGGCGGGTTCAAACCCGCTTCTGGGGTGTTACCGCCGGCAGCGCGGGGCAGACGTCAGGTGTCTCACCCGCTCCGTGCCTCAGTTTCCCCGTCAGCTGCGGCACGCCCAGAGCCTCCCTCGCTGAGCAACGGGCGGACGAGGAGAACCTAGAGGTGTCCGGGGTCCTTTGCGTCACCGAGGTCACTGTCTCACCTGCTGCCTCATCCCCGGCCTCCATCCGCGGCCCCGGCGACAACCTCAGCTTTCCCACCTGAGAGTACGCGGGGGCAGCCGACCGCCCTGCCCAACCGTCCCTCGCTCAGGGAGGCCCCGCAGCCTCGGCTCCGCTCACCTCCGCGCACGCGCGCCCCGGCAGCCCACGGAGACTCCGGGGTCGCGCCCGGGGGCGCGCAGAGGCGGGTCACGTGACCGATAGGCGCTCGTCGCGGGGCGGGGCCGCCGTGGGTCACGTGACGCGGCCTCCTGCGCAGGCGCCCGAGGCAAGGGTGCGCGTCCACGCTGCGCGTCTGCAGTGACGGCTCGGGCAGAGCGGGCCTGGGCGCGTCTTCGCTCTCGGAGGGGGCCTGGGGAGCGCGTCTGGCTGCGCGTCCGGCGTCCCGCGGGGAGAGGCCTACGCGTGCTCCCCGCTGCCAGTTCCTCTTGGGTCAGAGATGAGGCGAGGCCCCCGCTGGCACAGTCCCGGCCCGATCCCCGGTCCCCGTGGGGTGGGAGATGGGGCGTGGTCCCCGCTGCCCCGGTCTGGGTCCCAGCAGCTCGTAGGGCTTGTAAGGGGCTGGCCCAGCCGCGTCTTGCGCCCAGGGATTCCTCCTGCCAACACGTCCCAAGGGCGTCATCGGAAAGGCGGCCAAAGGCGCTCAGCGCCAAGTTAGAAACAGCCAACATTTGGAAAGTCCTTAAGTGTGCTCCATAACTCACACTGATTCCAGAAAGAAATAATCAAAACATTGTGATAACCCATAAAACTGACACCGGGGGAATTTTTTCATAAAATGAGAAAATGCTTACATTAAGAGGAACACATTTTTAGGTGTGAGATACAAAAAACACACGCTATAACCTTAACTTGCCTAATAAAATGTATGTGCAGAAAAATACAAAAGGAGCCACACCAAAACACGGAGGTGGTGTCCCTGGCTAGCGGCATAGGGGCACTAAAAGCCCCGCTTCCAGCTTGCAGTGAGCCGAGATCGCGCCACTGCACTCCAGCCTGGGAGACAGAGCGAGACTCTGTTTAAAAAAAAAAAGCCCCCCATTCCACCTCTGTTGTGGTTTCTGTATTTCTACAATGTTTTAGAATAAGTAAGCCTTACTCAGAAAGGCTTAGATATTCAGAAAAAAAGATTTTATTCTTCTACTGATACGTTTGAAAGAGAAATTATTTTGTAGAGCATTTTCCCTTTAAACTGCAAAGAAGCCCCAAAGTCATTGGTACTTGGAAGTCCAGGGAGAAAGAGCGCTGGTTAATGATGGAGAAGAGATAGGTGGGCAGACTGGGGCATAGTCCCTTGGTGTGGATGCCCCAGCGTGCTCTTATTTCAGTGCTTACCCTGTTATGTGTGTCTGGGGCCACTGACTTTCTCCTGCAAGTTGTGGATCTGAATTTAACTCAAATGGGGACGTGGGGGCAGGAAAAGGGACCTGAGCTTTCTAAGGGGTGGGGTGGGAAAAACTGGAAAAGAAGGTGGTTTATGGGTTTTCAGATGCACCTAGTAGAGGGAAGTGCTGTGGAGAAGCAGTCTCCCAGGCCAGGCTGGCTGGAGCCGCCTTAACTTCCCCACCGCTGCTCAGCCCAGCAGCTTGCAGACCTGTGCCAGTGCTGTGTTGTGAGAGGCACGTGCAGATTTGGGAGTGCTGCAAAGCAAAGTGTTACCTGGACGAGTAAGCCCAGTGTGGGAGTGTGGGTTTGCAGTCACAGGCTCTGTCTTTGCAATGGGAGGCTTACTGGGATGCCATGGGAAACGCTAGAATTTTACTTGGTTTATTAAACTGCTGAGTGGCTAAAAAGATTCCTACGGGTGGGGCTGGCATATTTCTCTTAAACGATGCCCATCTGAGGGTACCTGTGGCTTTTAGGAACACAAAAGATTCCAAGTCCCTCATAATAAACACAATTCCGGATCTCTTCCTGGAGGCCTTGCAAGACGGGGTCCAGGCTGCTCCCTAGGAGGGCCCCGGTGACTCGAGCTTGTTGGCGATCGTCTGGCTGATTTTGTGCAGGGCCTCCTGGAACTGGGGGTACTCGTCCCGCACGCGGTCCAGGATGGTGGCGATGAGACCCAGCCGCTTGTCCAGGCGCTGGCGCTCCAGCACTAGGGACTGCTTGGAGCGGAACAGGAACACGTAGCGCCCCTCCTTCACGGCCTGCAGGTGCTTAAGGCGCGTCTGCAGGGCCACGATCTCTGAAAGGTTCTGGGTAGGAAAAGAGAGTCCGTATAGGGCTATACAAACCGGAAGAAAGACACCTGCTGGCCCCCCACAAACTCAGACTCCAGGAAATGCCGAAGAGGAGGCAAGACCTACGCCTGAAAAGGGACGGCATGAAGGCGTTGCACCCCTGGATCTCAGGGAAGAGACTGAGAGGCACTGGGTCTGTGCCTTTATGGGTCATCCATCATCGTCATCTAGGAGGCATTATTATTATTATTTTTCATTTTTTATTTTTTTGAGACAGAGTCTTGCTCTGTTGCCCAGGCTGGAGTGCAGTGGTGCAATCTCGGCTCACTGCAAGCTCCGCCTCCCGGGTTCACGCCATTCTCCTGCCTCAGCCTCCCGAGTAGCTGGGACTACAGGCGCCCGCCACCGGCTAATATTTTCTGTTTTTTAGTAGAGACGGGGTTTCACTATGTTAGCCAGGATGGTCTCGATCTCCTGACTTCATGATCTGCCTTCCTCAGCCTCCCAAAGTGCTGGGATTACAGGTGTGAGCCACTGAGACCAGCTGGCATCCTTTTTTTTTTTTTTTTTTTTTTTGAGGCAGTCTCGCTCTGTCACCTAGGCTGGAGTGCAATGGCACAATCTCGGCACACTGAAACCTCTGGCTCCTGGCTTCAAGCGATTCACCTGCCTCAGCCTCCCAACTAGCTGGAATTACAGGCACCTGCCACCACACCTGGGTAGCTGAGATAACAGGCGCCTGCCACCATGCCTGGCTAATTTTTGTATTTTTAGTCGAGATAGGGTTTCACCATGTTGGCCAGGCTGGTCTCAAACTCCTGACCTCAAGTGATCCACCTTCTGCGGCCTCCCAAAGTGCTGGGATTACAGGCGTGAGCCACTGTGCCCAGCTTAGGCAACCTTCTTGACATGTGCCATGTGTCAGGTCAAGTGCCAGGCATGCTCCCCTCATCATCTCAGTTGGCCAGGCCAGAACCTTGGAGCCATTCTCCACCCCAGTCTCTGCTCACACCACAGCCAACCCAGCAGGAATCCCACCGGGCGATGTTGGCATCACACATATGCAGAGTCTGATGGCTTCTCACCAGCCCCACAGGGGCCACCCTGAAGCACTGCAATAGCTGCAGACGCCCCCCTGCATCCACACTTCATCCACATGCAACTTCAGAGCCGGGGGAGGCCGCTAAAGCCCGTCACCTCTCAGCCCCGATGCCCTCCTCTGTGTGCCCACTTCCCCAAGAGAAAAGTCCAAAGTCATGATGGTGCTCTCCCCAAGGCCGCACACAGTCTGGGCCGGCCCTCTGCCTGGGTCTTACATACCCTAACCTCCCCAGCCTGCCCCACTGGCCTCTGGTAGCCCTTGTGCAGTCTCAGGCTCCTGCCTTGGCAGGGCTGTCCCATCTGCCTGGGGTGGTTTTGTGAGCCGTCCCCTCCTTCAGGTCTGGACTCTAGTGTCTGCTCCGCGGGGCCTTCCCGCATCACCTTAACTCAAACTGTCAATCCCTCAGTTCACCCCAGTGCCCCTGACGCTTCTTTTTCTGGTTTATTTTCCTCCAAAGCATTTATCACCACCTAACATACCATTTCCTTTTTTCTTTTTCTTCTTTCTTTCTTTTTTTTTTTTTTGAGACAGAATCTCCCTCTGTCACCCAGGTTGGAGTGCAGTGATGCAACCTTGGCTCACTGCAGTCTCGACCTCCCAGACTCAAGTGATCCTCCCACCTCAGCCTCCTGAGTAGCTGGGACCACAGGCGTGTACCATCATGAAAATACACTGTATTTTTTTTTTTTTTTTGAGACAGAGTCTCGCTCTGTCGCCCAGGCTGGAGTGCAGTGGCATGATCTCAGCTCACTGCAAGCTCTGCCTCCCGGGTTCACGCCATTCTCCTGCCTCAGCCTCCGAGTAGCTGGGACTACAGGCGCCCGCCACCACGCCCGGCTAGTTTTTTGTATTTTTAGTAGAGACGGGGTTTCAATGTGTTAGCCAGGATGGTATCGATCTCCTGACCTCGTGATCCACCCGCCTCGGCCTCCCAAAGTGCTGGGATTACAGGCTTGAGCCACCGCGCCCGGCCCACTGTATCTTTTAAAATTATTTCGCTCATCATCTGTCCTCCTGCCCCAGGAGGTAACCTCTAGGAGGGCAGGGATGTTTGTCTTTTGTGTTCTATTTTGCAACCCTCGCACATTGAACGTGAGCCCAGCCCGTAACAGATACTCCATCAACATTTGTCAATTGAACAAATCACAAAACCACAAACATGTGAGCAGCCGGTGGTGCTATCACTGGCCTGGGATCAAGAGAGGACAGAACTTAGGGGAGGCAGGACCCCTGTGCGAGTGGCATGTTCCATGGCCTTCATCCCCAATGACCTCCTGGGACGTGTTTACCTGTCGTTTGAGAGCCCCAAGCCGGGTGAGGTCGGCCTCAAGTGTGTCGAAGTCTGCCTGTATCACCGACAGCTTTTCCTGCTTCTCTAGGAGGGAGCTGCTCACATTTCTTTGGGTTTCTTCCAGTTCCAGGATGGTTTTGGTGCACTCCTCAGTGGCCTAGGAGAGTCACAGGACCACGCTGGGCCCCTGCAGCCCGGCTACTTGGCAGATAGGGAAGAGTCAGGCTGGGAGGACCTGCCAGGCACCTTCTACACATTCCATCTGAGGAGGCTCACAAAGAGGAATGGGAGCTGCCGCCTTCAGGAATGGGTGGGCTGGAGAGGTGAGGCCTGGGAGATGCCAGGCCCAGCCAGCCCACACTGCACACTGCTCCCTTAAGGCGGGTGTGGCCGAGATATGGGGGCCTGAGCGGTTCTGGGGCTCCCCGTGCAGTGGGTCTGTCCCCGGGCAGGGGACCGGCACAGTTCAGCAGCCGTGTGCCAAGGGCAGGGCTGAGGCTGTAAGGGCCGAGAGGCGGGCTGGGGAGCCTGGGAAAGAGGAGGGTGGGGGCCTCTGCTGAGGGGGAGGCAAGGCTGGCGCCATCTGTGTGGTGTTCATTCCGCCTTCCGGGAAAGCAGCACAATGAAGAGAAAGGAAAGCCCGGCAGCAGCGTTTGGCAGCTGATACGGTCCAGAGGATGATGGAGGAGACACAGTGACTCTCAGGGCTGGCTGGGGACATGGAAGGTCTTTGAGGGGGGGATGGCAGGGGTGAGGACAAGAACCTGTTTGTGCATCAGTGATGGCGTCGTGTGAGGTGCAGGGCCTGGGACTAGAGGACTTGAGTGTTGCTTGGAGCAGACGGGGGTGAGGGGTGGGCATGGGGGTCCTGGCAAGGGACTGAGGTGATGCCCAGGGCAGCAAGGAGTGGTCAGGGGCTGGGCTAGGAAGCTGAGGGAGGGATGGACATCAGGAATGGCCAATGTGGCGGACAAGGACTGAGAAGAGGCCGCTCTTCCGCCTCTCTCCAGAAACTTCCAGTTACTTCCAAATGAGCAGCCCAGGCATGTCTGTCGTTTTTGGCTAGCCTTTCCCTACAGGGGTGACCTCAGCACTCTCCAGGGAACCCTCTGGGTGACTCTGAGCGGTAGGCACCCATTTCACAGGTCAGTAAACCAAGGCTCTGGGAGGTCAGACTGTATGCCCCAGTCAGGGATGGTCCAGCGTGGCTCCAAGCCATGCTGTCAGCTGTCCCCAAGGCCACCTACCCACCCATGGCTGTGGTTGCCGTCACATTTAACTCTGCCCCCCACCCCCCAGGAGACGAGGCCCTGCAGGTCTGGCAAGGCCCACAAGCTCTGAGGTCACACAGTGGGTCAGTGGGGCCATGGAGCCAACCTGGGAAGTGTGAGTGCAGGGCCCCTGGCTGGCGACAGCTGAGGTAGTCAGCACCGGACAGCACCAGCTGGGCCCTTCCAGCGCAGGCCCAGTGGACATGGCCTGGTGTACCGGGATGCAGGCTCTTGGGGAGCCCGCCACGCTCCCATTAGCTGGTCCCCGGTGCCCACTCAGGCTCCCCAGCATGAGCCAGCCTCTTCCCCAGAACTGTCTACCTCCCCAATGCCACCTCTGATATACAGGGAGGGGCTGAATGAAACACGGCCGTCTCTGGCTGTGAGCATCTCTGTCCGGTGTGGGCATTCTGCAAACTCCCAGAGACAGGCCCATGGCAGCAGCAGGTTAGCAGTGCTGAGCACAGCCCCTCTAACAGCCTCTGGGTCCTCACCCCAGACCTGGCACCCAGCAGCAGGTTAGTAGAACTGGGGACGGCCCTCTGCATCCTCACCCCAGACCCGGCACCCGGCAGCAGGTTAGCAGAACTGGGGATGGCCTCTCTGCGTCCTCACCCCAGACCCGGCACCCAGCAGCAGGTTAGCAGGGCTGAGCACACCCCCTCTGACAGCCTCTGCATCCTCACCCCGGACCCAGCAGGACGCCTTCCTGGAGTGTTCCTTGAGTCCCAGAGGGAGAAGCAGGCGCCCAGCTTCCTTTCTGCTGCTCCCTACCTTGCGAACATCCCTGATTTTCCGGCGCAGCTCAAGCTGCTTGTGGTGGAACTCGGTGCGGGTGAGCGCCTTCCTGTCCATCTTGCGCTGCCCCTCGGCCTGGGTGGTGACGGTCTCTCTGCGGGCAACCGCCAGCTCCATGGCGCGGATCATCTTCTCCTGCTGCTTCAGCAGCTGCCCAAGCCTGACCTGGGAGACAGGACAGAGGGGCTGGGGCTGGGGCAGGCCCGAGCTGCAGCCTCAGAGAGAGAGCAGCCAGGGCGCTGGCCTCGCTCATCCTCAGGTGACATGTACGGGGATCGGCGGGGAAACAGTGATGCCTGTGCCGCCAGGAGGAACAAGGGACATGGAGGCCACAGCCCTGGGTGGGAACCCGGAATCCACAGGCAGACAATGCAAGGCAGAGAAATGGCCGAGACCTGAGGCGACCAAGGAGGCATGAGAACTAAAAGCAACCAAGCAAAAAAAAAAAAAAAAGATTCTATGTCTTGATGGTGTCAGTGGCTACATAGATGTGTGCGTGTGTTAGAACCCACCAAACTGCGTTTTGTTTTTTTTTTTTTTAATTTTTTAATATTTTTGAGACAGAGTCTTGCTCTGTTACCAGGCTGGAGAGCAGTGGAACGGCTTGGCTCACTGCAACCTCTGCCTTCTGGGTTCACGTCATTCTTCTGCCTCAGCCTCCTGAGTAGCTGGGATGACAGGTGCCTGCCACCATGCCTGGCTAATTTTTGTATTTTTAGTAGAGATGGGGTTTCACCATGTTGGCCAGGACGGTCTCGATCTCTTGACCTGGTGATCTCCCCACCTTGGCCTCCCAAAGCTGGGATTACAGGCATAAGCCACTGCACCCAGCCTTTTTTAAAAAAAAAAATTTTTTTTTTTTGAGATGGTGTCTCCCTCTGTTGCCCAGGCTGGAGTGCGGTGGCACGATCTTGTTTAACCACAACTTCCACCTCCCAGGTTCAAGCAGTTCTCCTGCCTCAGCCTCCTAAGTAGCTAGGATTACAGGTGTCTGCCACCATGCCTGGCTAATTTTTGTATTTTTAGTAGAGATGGGGTTTCACCATGTTGCCCAGGCTAGCCTCATTGAACTGACCTCAAGTGATCCACCTGCCTCGGCCTCCCAAAGTGCTAGGATTACAGGCGTGAGCCACCGCGCCCAGCCCAAACTCTGTGTTTAAAATAAGGACATTTTATCTTATCAAAGTTAAGCCTAAAGTTGATTTAAAAGAAAAAACAGGCAAGAATCCCGAAGATCAGCAGGGTGAAGGGAGACCAAGCTCGCTCAGGTTTACGTGTACCATAAAGTGACTTGGAGCCATGAAGAAACACGAAAAAGTCTGTGGGGCGAAAGACCCCCTAAACAGAGGGCAAAGGCAATGACAGGCCAGAGACACTATTTTCATAGGTATTGAAGACAGGGGTTAATAACCCAATATATGAGGAACTCCTAAAAAATGTTAAGAAATAAGAAAACAGGCCAGGTCCGGTGACTCAAGCCTGTAATCCCAGCACTTTGGGAGGCCGAGGCAGGTGGAGCATCTGAGATCAGGAGTTCGAGACCAGCCTGGCCAACACGGTGAAACCCCATCTCTATTGAAAATACAAACAATTAGCTGGGTGTGGTGGCTCATGCCTGTAGTCCCAGCTACTCGGGAGGCTGAGGCAGGAGAATCGCTTGAACCTGGGAGGCGGAAGTTGCAGCGAGCTGAGATGTAAGCACCACTGCACTCCAGTCTGGACAACAGAGCAAGACTCTGTATTTTAAAAAAAAGGAAGTCAGAGGAATTTCATAAGTACAGAGTTACAGAAATCAAGACAGTAGGGCATTGGTGAAGGGACAGAAACATGAATCAGTAAAACAAAACAGCCCAGAAACGAACTCACACAAATGTGTCAGCTGATTTCAACAAGGCCTGGGAGGTAGTTCAGTGGAGGAAGGGCAGTCTTTTCAGTAAGCAAGCAGGGCTGGCTCAAGTGAACATCCAAATGCAAAAAAAATTTAACCCCAATCCACAGCTTGTACCATACACAAAAATTAACTCAAAATACATTATGGACCTAAATGTAAAACCTAAAAGCAGGAAGCTTCTGGAAGAAAATAGAAGAGAAGCTCTTTGGGACCTTCAGCTAGGCAAAGGCTCCTTAGATAAGCTACTGAAACGATTCAAGGAAGAACAGACTGAGGGGTGGGTGCCGTGGTGCACACCCATAATCCCAGCACTTTGGGAGGCCCAGGCAGGAGGATCCTTTGAGCCCACAAGGTCAAGGCTGCAGTGAGCCATGATTACACCGCTGCACTCCAGCCTAGGTGATAGAGCGAAACCCTGTCTCTAAAAGAAGAGAACAGACTGTGTAATTGGACTTCACCACACAGAAGACTCTCAAATGCATGAGGCTAAGGAAGGAAAATCAGGCTCAGTATGTCTCACCCTGTTTGACCCATTTATGTGACATTCTGCAAAAGCCAAAACGACAGGCATGGAGACAGATTGGTGGCTGTCATGGTGGCTGGGGTGTGCGGTGAGCTGACTACAGAGGGCATGAGGGAATTCGAGGATGAGGAAATATATCATGATGTGGCAATGGCTACATGATTGTACGTCTCTATCAAAACTTGTAGGGCTGGCCGGGCACAGTGGCTCACTCCTGCAATCCCAGCACTTTGGGAGGCCAAGGCAGGTGGATTGCCTGAGCTCAGAAGTTTGAGACCAGCTTGGGCAAAATGGCGAAACCCCGTCTCTACTGAAAATACAAAAAATTAGCCAGGCATGGTGGCACACACCTGTAATCCCAGCTACTCAGGCAGCTGAGGCAGGAGAATTGCTTGAACCTCGGAGGTGGAGGTTGCCACGAGCCAAGATCACACCACTTCAGTCTGAGCGACAGAGAGTCTGTCTCAAAAACAAAACAAAAAACAGACAAAACAAAATAACCCAGAAAATCCTCATAGGGCTGAATACCGTAAGCTGTGAGCTTCCACTCAACTGAAAAACCTCAAAAAAAAAAAAAAAAAAAAAAGATAAATCACACCAGAACTGAGGAGAAGGTATGACAGCCGCCATGTGCTTTTTAGACAAGTAAAATGTCAGGCTGTTACAGTCAGAATTTATACACCCTTTGACTTAGGAATCTCACCTTTGGGAACCTAGTCTAGAAGACGAAGAGAAAAAAAAAGAACCAGTGAGAAAGGATGTGATCATAATGCTCTGCGATGGCTGATTTTATGTTAACCTGACTGGGCTGAGGGATGCCTGGATAGCTGGGAAAACATGATTTCTGTTTTGAGTGGGTCTGTGAGGGTGTCCCTGGAAGTGATGGGCATTTGAACCAGTGGACAGAGTAAAGATCCCCCTCGTCAGGGTGGGTGACATCACCGTCTGTTGAGGGCCACAGTAGAACAAAAAGGCAGAAGAAGGTGGTGGGGCGGGGTGGGGCGGGGGTGGGGCGGGGGTGGGGGAACACCGGGCTGGGATGACACCATTGCTTCCTTCTCAGCCCTTAGACTTGACTGAATCAGGGGCTCTCCTGGGTCTGCAGATTAGTTGCCCGATCCTAGGACTTCTCGGCCCCCATAATCATAAGAGCCAATTCTCATAATAAATCTCTCTCTCTCTCTGTGTGTGTCTCTCTCTCTCTCTGTAGTCTACTGGTTCTGTTTCTTTGTAGAACCCTAACACACATTGTGTCTAGGACAAAACAATAATGCCAACAACAAATTGGAAACAACCTGAATTTTCACCAACGTGGGACTGGATCCGTAAATTGTGAAATATCCATAATATATATTGTAACTGTTAAAAAATGGGTTAGTATCCATGTAGGGCCAAGGCAAGCCCTGCCTGTGCATTTGTGTGAGATCTGAGAAGGTGAGAGGCCTTTTCCCTGCAGTGGCTGACACGTCGCCCTGGCTGAGGAAGGGGAGCCGAGAAAGGAGGGACAGGGAGGAACAGCCCGGACCTTCTCTTTGTCCCCCGCTCTGTGGGGGAGAACTTGGCTTGCTCCAGCAAACACACGTGGCTTCTGTAATGTGAAAAGTCAATTAAATTGGGTATTTTTAAACACAACGTCTCATTAGCATATGCACTTGATCTGGAAAATAACTCAGCAGAGGAATTTTTATTTAGCATGGCATTGTGAAAATGAGACCCATTAATGTTATGAACTGCTCTTATTGTTATCCTTAAGGCCCTGAACCTTTAGCTTGATTATCACTTGCAATTTAATTACCAGCCTTTTAAAGGCAATGAAATCTAATTGTGACCGTGAAGAGAAAATGTGGCTGTGAGGGATGAGACGGGGGTGCTCACTGAGCCTTTCTGTGGTGTGAGACTCTGTCTCCCAGTGGGATACATTAGAGGGTCACGAAATTTGAGGGTTACAGCCAGCATTTAAAAATACCAGAGTGCTGTGATTACATGGAGTAGGAATAAAACAGTGTTTTGCGAAATGACACGCACACGCTTGTGTGTGCGCGGTATTGTCCACAGTATTTCTGCACAGCAAGAACAAGATGCCGTGAAAGCTGGGTCAAGGGGGACGTGCACTTTGCCAGTGCTCTGTTGGAGTGCAGGTCACTCTGCTAGAGTGGGTCGCTCCCCGGAAATCTCACCCGCTGCCACCAGCCACTGTGGCCAATGTGGTTCCCACCGGAGCCCTGGGGCAGCCGAGGGCCTTGGTGTGGCCAGGTCTCTGGAGCCCAAGGGCTGGCACCCAGCAGGCCCTGCCACGTGGCTCTCCTCCCCTCACCTTCATCCTGTGGATCTCGCCCTTCATGGCCCGGATCTCCGTCTGGCCGATCTCGGAATCCACTGAAGAACGCATCTCTTTTGCCAGTTGGATTTTTTTCTCCCAAAGCATAATCTGGTGTCTTGAGAGGTAGGAGAGGCAGTGTAAGAAATTAGGAGTTTTCTTCTGATGCTTCGGTGAGCTCACACTCTAAGGCTTTACAAGGCTCTCAGCTGCCATGGCAGAGCCAAGCAGCTGTGACAGAAAGCGTGAGCCTCTCAAAGCCTGAAACGTTCACTATTGGGCTCCTTATGTAAACGCTTGCCAACCTCTGGCATATAGGGGGAGAGAGGGAGATGGGGGTGGGGAAGATAGAGAGAGAGATAGAGAACAGGGATATATAACTGTAGGAGCTGAGAAAGTCAGTATAATTGATAGAAGCTGACTTAAGAAGTAAAAGGCCTGAATACACCAATAGTCTAAAAGCTATTTAAATGTCACCAAAGATACAAGCCCCCCAAAGCATTGGTCCCAGGTGGTTTTTTGCCTGGATTCTATCAAACCGCAAGGAACAGGCAATCCCTGTGCTATTTATCCCTTCCAGAGCACACTGAGAAAAGGACGATGCCTCCACACCACGCCTGCTCCGCACCCTTTCCACAGGGAGATGTGGGCCCACGTGTGTGACAGGGAAAGATGGCCATGAAAATACTAAAGTGCTTCAAAGGGGAACTTCTGAAACAACCCCATTTGTGTAAAAAACAGAGCAAAACAAGAAAGGAATATAGCTAGACATTGGTTTTCTGGGAAGTGAAGAGCGTTGGAATTATATGCAATTTTCCCTGGCTACGTTGCACGCATTGTATAGTTTAAAATGTTTAGAGCTGGCTGTGTGGTACTTTAATAATCAGACACCATAAAATAATGGATATTTAAAATCTTTATCGCAAAGAAAGCCATTCAATTTCCAGCAGTAACTCATTTGGCTCAAGAGCTGCTGCCAAGGGTGGTAGGCAGAGCTCTGTGGGGAATCTGGGATCCACCAGGGTGGGTTCCAGACCCATGCCCAGGTGGTCTTTTTCTTCTTTTAGAGACAGGGTCTCGCTCTGTTGCCCAGGCTGGAGTGCGGTGGTGCAATCCTAGCAGCCTTGACCTCCTGGGCTCAAGTGATCCTCCCACTTCAGCCTCCCGAGTAGTTGGGACTACAGGCGTGCACCACCATGCCCGGCCAATTTAAAACATTTCTGTAGATATTGCGCCTCAAAGGAGCCTCCTGCCTTGGCATCCAAAGCACTAGGACGCCGCGGCACGGTGGCTCACGCCATGTAATTCCAGGCACTTTTTTTTTTTTTTTTGATGATGGGATGTCGGGCTCTGCGCCCAGGCTGGAGTGCAGTTGCCGGATCTCAGCAACTGCAAGCTCCGCCCCCTGGGTTTACGCCATGCCTCAGCTCTACCCGAGTAGCTGCCACACAGCGCCCGCCGCCTCGCCCGGCTATGTTTTTTTGTATTTTTTAGTAGGAGACCGGGTTTCCACCGTGTTTCACCAGGATGGTCTCGATCCCTGACCCTGCGTGATCCGACGTCTCGGCCTCCAAGAAGTGCTGGATACGGCTGAAGCCACGCGCCCGGCCAACCAGCACTTTGGGAGGCTGAGGTGTGCGCGATCACCTGAGTCAGTAGTTCAAAGACCAAGCCTGGCCAACGTGCGGGTGAACCCGTCTCTACTAAATAATATACCAATTAGTCAGGCTGGGGCTGCACCTGTGATCTCAGTACCTCAGGAGGTTGAGGCAGAGAGAATCCTTGAAGCCTGGGAGGCAGAGGTTGCAGTGCGAGCTAGGGTCGCACCCACCTGGCAGTCCAGCCTGTGGATTGATAGACAAGACTGCTCCCAAAAGAAAAAACAAAACAAAACAAAACACCCCA